ACCGTTTAGCGTGTAGCCTTTAATCGAGCATAACGACAGTTAATAGCAAATCCTGATGTCAAACCATTATTGATGATCCATTTGAACCTACCAATGTAGTTTTGCAATTCTTGCATTGTTGAAGGAGAAATTCTACAAATTCCTTACATACTTAGGTTCTGTTTGTTTTTTCGAAACAAAAATTCAAAAAGTCTGCGAACTACCTCTGCAAACCTCTACCGCAGAAGAGGTGGACCAAACGGCTGCAGACTGTAATAAGAAGCGTGTTTGTTTTTGTTAACATCTGCAGACTACTGCAGACATTAAAAAATTAAAATAAACTAATTTAATAAACCGAAAAATATTTTTAAATACAGAAAATTTAATAATTATAGTCTTAAAACATTGAATAATAAAATATAATATGCTATATGTTTTGTTACAATCTGTTTTTCCATTTTATTTTTTATTTCATAATTAAAATAAAATAATAGACACTTATTTAAAAAGAAAATAAGAAATGAAATTCTAAACATTTATTTAAAAAACAACATTAAAATTAATTAGCTTATGTAAATTAAATGAGAGAAAAGAGTTAAAGGGATATAAATTTAATGTATTAAATGTTAAAGGGATGAAAATAGAATTTAATATATAAGTAAAGGACCATAAATGTAATATTAAATATACACCATTACAAAATGTAATAATAACACGTTCAATTTTTGGAAAAAAAAAAAAAGCACCGATGGTTTTTTGAGGTTGAATATTTTAGGTTTAGGTTTGAAGGGGTGGGAAGAGGTAGGAAGAGGTTTTAAGCCCTGAAGACTTTCGAAAAACAAACTACTGCGGGACAAAAAGTGCTGCGCGTGTGCTGCGCCGCACAGCAATAAGAGTTTTGAAGAGGTTTTTTTAAGAAAAACAAACAGCACCTTAATTGTAATATTTATAAGTGTTTTTTAGTAGCGAACGAGCTATTGTTGACGCAAGAAAGGACGCGGGAAAAAACAACGTGACCAAGTTGGTAGGGGGAGATCATATTAAATTCATATTACAACAACGTAAGAATAAGGAGATGTAGATATTTACGGACTTCCAGTCATGTACCATAAATATTTATAATGTGTTCAATTAGTTTTTATGGCCAAATCGTCTTGCATTTGAGGGCGAAATTGGAGCATAAGCCCATACGCTTCTTTTTCATATTTGAGCTTACATAAAAAAATTGGCCTGGCCCAAACTAACTAGTTTACAAAACTTTATTTCCAACTTGCTAATTGTGTTTCTCACTTTTTTTTTTCTCTTAAATTTATTATTTATTATGTTTTTAAACTTATGTGTGAACTATCTATATTCTTTTAATATAAAATATTAATATCAAGTATGTTTAGTGTGGCATATCTTTATTTTTCACTTGATAGGTCAACATAAAATGACCTATTTTTTGGAAACTATATTATTTGGTTATATTTAAGCAAGTTACCAATCAACGCAATGACCCTACTATTTTTTTTTTTGATTTTACGTATTTAGTTCCTAAATTTTTTTCGTGCCCAGTAAGGGAACAAAATGTTTACTGATATTTAGTCTCATTAACTTAATATAACTGGTACCCAATGCCACATTTGCACCTTAAGACGGGTAAGTGTCTACGTGGGCCTAAACAACGTTGTTTTGATAATTAAGTGTCACACTTGTTAATAAGGCAATACGATGTCGTTTACAAACGTCCTTTTGGGAGCAAGCCTTCGACTGTTCATTCCCCACCTGGGTATATAACCTAGCGTTTGTGCCTTAAAAGGAGCTCCACCGTCAACTTTAATAACCTAATCTTGCAAAACAGAGCATATCCAAAGGTAGACACAATCCCATTGGTTACGTCTCCCCGCCATAGTTGGTCGTTCGAAGACTGACGCCACATATAAGCCAATGTAAGTGCTTCGGCCAATCATCAGGACATCCAGATCACGCTGCTACAACTCCAACTTGAAGTGTACCTTATAAAGGAAGAAGTCAATTGTGATCAACGACAAGTCGGAGACATTGTCCGTCGGGAGTTGGATGCCCTTGATCGTGATGTAGATTACATCAGGGCTGGCCAAATGAAGGTGACTCATTTGACTGACGACCTGAGGAGCCATTTGTATTCTCTCCAACTGGTGTACGTGAGGGCAACAACTGAACTTGGTAAGCTGAAGAAGCTACTTATTATCAGATGTGTGTTTGGAGTGATCGGTTCTGTAGGGGTGGCAACTTACAAAATGTTCAGATGAAAGGGTAGTTAGGTTTGCATTTGTTTGGGTTTTGTGGTTTTGTATGTTGTTTTTTTTGGATGTTGGGTATTTGGATGTTGCTTTATGGTAGTCTAGGTATGGTGAATAGTCTCCTTTTGGTTGTATATAAGTGTCAAATATGAAAGCAACATATAATGGTAGTATGTAATAAGAAGGGATTTACAAAACCTAGATCAATGCAAACGAATATTATGAATATACACGTGTTTTTCTTGATTTTAGTATTGTAAGCATATTCTATGTTGTAGGACAAAAAGGTAGAATTTGTTCATGTTTCTTGTCCCCAATTACACATGCTTTAAGAAACTAGAAACTTTGTTTTGTATGATAAATTAGGACCACACTTTTTCCCTTTATTTTAGTATGGATATAGACATGTTTTTATACACATGTGTGTTGGTCTATTTTTTGTAAGGAATATTGTTCTGCACATAGATTTGGGTTCATGTGCTTTAATAAATGGGAAATAAACAAACAAATCTAATAACCACACACAAAGTACATAAATAGCTTTGTCCATAACAATGTTACAACATATTCCATAACCAACCACTACCTAAATAACACGTTACCAGATTACATAAGGGATATAATTACATAAATACCCCTCCCCCATACATTACACCCACATTAATCAATATCCATAGCATTTGATTCACTGCTACCTTTACCTTCCAATTTCTTTCCCAACCTCATTTTAACGATTCTTTCATATGGATTCCTAAACCTTGCTTTTTCTACTTTCCTATCCGTAACTACATCATTACTAACCCGTACATCTTCAACATTATTATCACATCTTCCCTAACCATTTCCATGTTGGCTAACTCTTGTATTTGTTGCACAACTTTTTTTTTTCCCTACTAGTAGTTTTAGGATGCCTTTCAACTTAAGGAAAAGTGCTTTTGTTGTGTCATCTATGTTTGTATATACTACAAGAAACAAGTTTTCCAACCTTTGATACGGTATGCCTATGAGGTATTTCAGAAACAACTCTTTTCCTCTTCAAAGTAGATCTGCCAGGCATCCTTCTTTTAATTGGTGGCAGAATAAGGATGTTTTCTATAGGGGACCACATGTTTATGCCATTCATCCATTGGATTGGGTGTTTGTACGTATTATGGTACAATGCTACAAAGTACATTCGGTCCACATGCTCCTGATAATATTCAGTGTTTAAGAATAACAATGTTGCAACTGAGTGCACAAAACCATAGCAATTTAATTGCCACAACCTGCATGTACATTCCCTTTTATGTACATCAACCAGATACGGCTGATCCAAGTTTCTTGTTTTAAACTTCTTCACCCCACAAGAGATAACTTGCTAATACCTATATTTAGTAAGTTCATTTAATTAGTCCTAAAACTTTTAATTGGTCATTGAATAGGATAGTGACATACTTTTGCTTCATTTTCAACAGACTCAACTTGTCCCTAATGTCTGGACAAACATTTAACTGATCCCATCCTTGTCCCTTAAGTTGCATTTTAACCATCCTTTGCATGACATAAATACAAATATCCTCTAACATACTGATAATGAGTTTCTTCCTAGCATCCATTATAACACTATTGAAGCTTTTTGATAATCCATTCTCCATAAATTCACAAGCATGGTGAACTTTGAAGAAAGCCAAAGACCATGTCTTAGGATACCTCTCCATAAGATGTACAAAGACATCAAAATTTATCTCTTTAATCTCCTTCATTGCTGCATTGAAATGTTCTTCAGTAGTTGCTTTATTTTTCCTCCAAAAATACTCTCAAATTGTGATCTTGGATTTGGAAATTTCTTTTTAAAGTTAGCATAGATATTACACATTGTCTATGTTCTGCTTTTGGTAGTAACTCTTTCACTGCCTCAATCAATCCCTGCATATTTTGAATCATAAAAACATTAGAGTGACATAACATATATTGAACATACTTTAAGAACTAGTATCATACTTTGTGTTGATCAGATATGAGCACAAGCCCAAAGCCTTTACTGTCAAGGAGTCTTCTCTAAGATTATCAATAAACCACTTCTAATTGTCTTTGTTCTCCACACATACAACAACGCAAGCAATTAGGAAGATGACATTGTTAGCATCCCTACCCACAACACAAAGTAGCTCAACTTGACAATAACTCTTCAAAAAACAACCATCAAGGTTAATTATCCTTCTACGCCCTCCCCTCCAACCCTGTTTATGTAAATCTTATTGAAGTAATTTTTACCATCTGGCTGTGAATCAACAGAATTTTTGATAGTTGAACATGAATTTGATCTTCTTATCTCCTCACCATAAGATCATAACTTGGCATAGTTGTCTGTAATTGTACCTTCAACTAGAGTAAATGTAGATTCCTTGGCTCTACTACACTGAATCATACTCACTTCAATGCCAAATATATTTTTCACCTCCTCTCTAAGTAACCTAACACTCATCTTCTGACTGTTAACAAATTCTTGGATGAAATGGCTTACTATCCATCTGTAAGTGATAATTGACCCAAATTTAAAATTCCTAGCACAATTATGGTTATTTATCTGAGACTTTATCTGGAAAGACTTATCATCACTCCTCCATGAATCCTAAAGCCTAAAAGTCCAGTTTCCATCACAACATTTAACTCACAACCTTCTACTATCGTTTTTCTTAAAGCATAGTTGATAACCATTAGCAACTGTATAACTGCACAACATATGTTTGAGTTGTTTGCAATTCTCAAACCTCATACCTAACACATGATGCTACTTCTTCCAAGGTTGCTCTTCATTGAACCTATTTGGCAAATCAGTAACAACATCATCCTCATCATCTTTATTGTCCCCCATGTCATCTTCAGTTTACCCATGTCAGCATCAACATGTTCACATTCACTTACATACTCACCCATCTCAAAATCCGGGCCATTGTCATCGGTATGCCCTGTTTCATTTGTTTCACCATTATCAACAACTTCTTCCAGGATGTGATCAAGCACTTCCTCTCTTCCTTCATCCAACTACTCCTGCATGTTAGCACTAATATAGTTTCTCACATTTTTCTCCTGTGAATCTTTCCATAAAAGCATAGCACTCCTTTTCCATGGCGGCGAAATCAATGTCTCCTAGTCTTTGATTAGTACCATTGGTGTAATGTATGGGGTACCTTTCAAAGATGCCTTGAAAGTACACACGGACATCGATGTAGATAGCCATGGTTGAAGCAAGAAATTGGAGGATCGAAAAGCGACACAATCGACATAGATAGTTGATGGAGTATGTTCGAGTTAATGGAGTGTTGTCAGTAGCTAATTAAAAACCCTAAAGCGACACAATCAACATTTAAACGTGGCAATTTTAAATGACGTGACACATATGTTACCGGCTGACCCCTTCATCTCTTATAAGAGGACCAAATCAAACCGACAATAAACATTTTGTTACCTTAGTGGGAACGAAAAAAAAAATTAGGGATTAAATGCTTAAAAAAAAATAGTCGGGTTGGTGCGTGATTTACCTTAAAAAAATTACTAAGAAAAAAATTAACAGAAATGTTTTGTTTTTCCGTAGAAATATTATGGATGATCTTTTCATGAACTCTAAAAGCTCACCAACTTGACCCTTAGCCCAAGTAATCTAATTCACTAATCGTAAGAGGCTAATTACTTTTAGTAACAAAACATCATAACTCATAGTTATGGCTTACAAATAATAAATCTATAAGTATACTATTAATCTAATGTTATTTATGAGAGAGTATGATTATAAGAAAAGATATTTATATTATGTGATATAGTTATCCTAAATGAGTTTGATGATAAGATGATGGTATATATTAAGTTTCTTTTATTATATATATATATATATATATATATATATATATATATATATATATATATATATATATATATATATATATATATATATATATATATATATTATAAAACTATAATTTGCAAGTCTAAGCAAGCTTTTGTAACACATTAAAATGCGAATCTTAGACACTTTTGTCAAGAAAATTTCATTAATGTCCAATCTTGAATTCCTTTAAGGAAAATAAAGATTTGTAACACATAAGGTGATTTAAAAACTAGTAACTATATACTGTTATTTACAAAAAGTATCATGTCTATCTTAAACTCGTAAGCACGAATACACATCATTTGATATATTCTTCAAATAGTACACCGTCTTCTTTGTCCGACACATAATTTTTGAAAGGTTTTAGCTTTTATGAAAAAAAACCCGGAAAAAAAGCGTTAGACATCAGTGAAAACTTTTAGCTTTTATTTTAAACAAAAATATCAATAATCCAAAAATTGTTTCAAATAGCTTTTAACTTTTAAGTTTTTATATAATTTTACACATTTAAAAGTTCAAAACTAATTTTTTCGAACACTTCTAGATATTAAAAGTTAGACTAAACTACATAAATGACACCCGTAGTTAGTTGAAAATTGTCACTTTGGTTCAAAGAGATTTGGACAAACACCAATGGTCCAAAAATTTTATTTTGTTGCGAGTTTGGTCCGTGTTTTGTTTTGGTTTTTTCTGAAATGATGAGTTTTCCCCTAGTATATTCATTTTTTATTTATTTTATTACAATAAGCCAAAAAAAAAAAAAATTGTGTTGTGTTATCTTCCCCCTCCCCCACTCTCTCTACTTTAAACACACCCAAGCCCTCGTTTTTCGGCACCACCAAGGACTTCTTTGGTGCCACCCATTTTGCTGCCTCTTTTTGAATACCACTACCATCACCTATCTTTACCACCAACACATGTCAAAATCACCACCACTATAGTTTAACACCACCAAAACCCTCCGATCTGAAAACACACTCATCTTCAGCCCCCATCATAACCGGGCCGTCACCTTCTTTTTCCGGTCATTTAAGATCACTAAGACCCTTTGCCGGAGCCGTTGGAGTCGTCGATATAGAAACCCTTCGTCGGAGTCATCACCACCATTACTGGTTAACACTGCTACTATTGTTGAACCTCTTTGAAAACCCTTGGATCTCGAAAACCTTCCAATTTGAAAGCCTTCTTCACCTAGAGAAGAACCAATGGAGAAGAACAATATATAAAAGATCTAGGGTTTTCCGAGGAAGATAAAGAAGGAGAGTGAGAGACAAATTTTCCTTTGAGGATTTTCACATTTGCGTTAGGGTTTCATGATAGTGGTTACAACACTTGTGGTCGAGGGTTTCTTAGTAGGGAAGATAATGATGATGCTAGGAACCACTAGATCTGGGCAGATTTGTCAACGATATTGGTTTGTCTTCCCCGGAGTCGCCAAAGACATTCTTGTGCCAGACGTCAGAGTCGCCGGAGTCACCACTGTCGTTCTCTGTTCGTCTTCCCCGGTGGCCGTTTTTTGTTCTCCGCTGGTTATTTCAAGTTAAGACTAGACTTTGTGTGGAAAAATCGATGGATTTGTGTGTGTGTGTGTGAGAGAGAGAGGGAGAGATTATTGTAAGAATTTTGTTCTCCGATAGTTATTTCAAAAAATAATTGTTTTTGTTTTTTAATTATTGTAATATAAAAGACATAAAAAAAAGTAAATATCAGGGGCAACTTTATCATTGTAAAAAAGTTTAAAACAAAATGAACCAAAGTTGCAACAAAATGAAAAGTTTGGATCTCTGATGCTAGTCTGAACATTTTTGGACCAAAGTGACAAAATGATCATTTGTGCAGTTTTGGTTAAAAGTTACAACTTTCAATTTCTAGCTATCAACTTCCAACTACCAACTAGTTTTATTATAAATTTCATAATAATCGAATGTTATTTGACAACCATTTACCATCTAAATTTTATAAGGGTATTCAATAAAAAGAACAATATAAGATGTGTTATCACAAAATAGAAGATGCTCTACCATATATATATATATATATATATATATATATATATATATATATATATATATATATATATATACATATATTTTAAGGGGTTCTCAGTGTGGCACCGACAACCCCTAACTTCTCTGGCCGCAGTGAATTTTTTTTTCGATTTTTCGATTGTTTTTAACTATTTTTCATGCATCGGCAATACCTATTGATTCCAGCAACACCTACTATGTATTCCTGAGTCCGTATATGATAACCATCTATGATTTATTAGTTATTATGGACTTTATAATACATTTTGATTATTTTTATGTAATTCACACTGATAAACAAATAAAAAACTATCATATAGTGAGCATCATGTTGTAAAGTAATTTTGATAGTTCACATAATCCATTTTGCGTAATTAGTGGTTATTTTTCATAATTTCTCAAAAAATATTATTTCATTAGATTATATGTCTTACTTTGATCGTTTAAGTATCACATGTTATAGTTCCTGAATAGCTACTATTTACTAAAGGGCCAATGGCCTAGCAGTAAGGAGCGACCATCTTATATGAGAGGTAATGAGTTCAAGTCTTGGTGGAGGCATATGTGATTATTTAGGACTAGATTAGTTAGTTTGTTGTTGCCAAAAAAATATAGCTATTATTTACCATCCATATTTTATACCATCATGTTGACATTTTGGGTTATATCCTCTATTAAATTTATATAAAATCCAGAAAATTTTCAAGTCATGATCCATTTACAAAATTGTCTAAAAGGAGTTGAATATGAGTTTTTTCTACATCAAAATGAGTTACTCTCATACAGTCATACTGATTTTATTAATTAGAACACTCAAGAGAGAAAGTAAAATATTTTATTAGAATAAGTGGACTAATTTGTGAGCATTGTGTTGAGATGCTAATGCTTTTAAAGTGGCCTGCTCTTGCCAAAAGAATGGTGTCCTCTTCTTGTTTTAGAGAGAGAAAGTGTCATCTTTCTCTTTCTCTCTTTGTTTTCTAGTGCCTTTGGCCACCCTTAAAAGTGTCTTCTCTCTTGTTGATTCTTGTAACCCTTTCTATACATCCATTCAACAATCTTGAAAGAAAGATAGAGATAATTGCATCTTTTTTGTAAATCGAAAAAGAAACTCTTGAAAGTTCAAATCTCGTGATCATCAACATTCAATTCAAGTTTAACCATTTTCAATGGTTAAAAGAAGAAAGGGTGTCTTTTTAATCATCAAACTTCGGATTTGACCCTTTTTCCCTTATAAAAATGTAAGAGATTGCACTTTTCAAGATTGTGGTAGAATTCAAGTTTCACCTTTTACCCATCGATGAAAAGGGAAGAAATATTTAACTTGACAAGGTTGTGAAAAGTTCAAGTTTCACATTTTCTAGTACAAAGAAAAAGACTGATTTGCCCTTTTTCAAGATTGTCAGAAATTCAAGTCAATTTCACTGATTGATTTCCCCTTTTCAACATTGTCATAGATTTGATCTCTATCTTTTCATCAACACAGAGGTTTCGGTGAAAAAAAACATAAAGTTTCTTGTATGTTGGATCAAGATTCATCGTATTTTCAATGTCTTCTGATATGTTTGAATATGAAGAGTGTTTCTTCACAGATCCTTTCTCTCCTTTGATTGATTCTTCCTCCATTGACATCCTGAAAGCTTTTCAAGAAAACACTTGCAGTTTTAATCCTCCATCGTCAACTTTGACCCATGAAAATCTTGACGCCCCATTTAATAAAATTGACCAAATTATCCCTACCATCCAGTCTTCTTCCCCACCAAGCCACCAGCTCGAAAGTCTCTCTCTTTCCCAAATGGGCAATTCAGTAATTTCCCTAGATTCATGTCCTCTCGAGGTCAAAACAGAGAAAAGTCAACTACCCTTTCATGGTTATTTTATCAACAACGATTCATTCTTACCTCATAGTTATGGTGGGGGTGACAATGTAATGAAGATGATGCAAAGAAGTTACAGCAATATATCTTTTAATAAAAGACAAAATGGTTTTGTTTTTCAACCAAAACTCGATAGTTTGATTGAGTCCTCAAATCTTCATTCCCAAGTCCTCACCTCACCTGATCATGGCTTCTCTTCTAGTCATATGAGAAGGGTTTGCAGCACTGGTGATTTACAAGTTAGTTAGTCCTCCATTTTGCATGCCCAATTTTGACTTTTTTTTGGTCAAACTACTTCATTCTTGTTTTTGCTTTAGAAGTTACAAGAATTACCTTTTTTTTTTCTTTAAAATAAATAAATAAGGTGGAAATATTATCTTGAAACAGTTGGAATAAGAATTAGCAAACAAAGTTTTGGTTTTGTTTGACGAAAATAAGCAAATTTATAAGCTAG